ATAAGAATAGACGTTCACTGAATGGAAAATCAAGATCAGTGATGACCTCCTCGTTTTTTCCTTCCAAAGTGACTCTCTATCTAGAAACGTTTTTATTCCAATTAATTGATTAAACAAGCCATAAAGTTACTATTAGAGGAAAGTTTTTTCATGTTTGCAATTGCAACAAATTGGTGAAGTTTTTTAACAAAAATAGGTCCGTAAACAACTTTTTTGAATAATTTCAATGAAAAATATTGAAAAATAATTGCAAAAATATTAAAATATTTGGTAATAAAATCAATTTCTTTTCATAAATTAATTGGAAAGAGGAGAATAATTAAATTATAACACCAATAATATTCAACAGTTAGTTCGTTTTTTACTTCATTATAAAAATTATAATAAAAATTATAATAAAAATTACAATAAATATTAAAAATTATAATAAAAATTATAATTCAAAATCAATAATTTGAAATAATCAAAATAGTTAAAATTTTTTAAAAGCACTTTTGGCTATATTTTTATTTTTAATCGAAAATGTTTCAGCAGCCCTTCTTTTTCAAAAATCTTTGTAAAATGAATCGGCTATTTTCTTTTTCTTTGAAACAAAGAGAGACTTTTCGTTTTTCTGGTCCCTTGCAAGATTTAATTCAAAATTTAATTCAGATAGTGATGATGCATGTTGCATACAGTGATAAAATATGCGAAAAGAACGAAATTAGGATGAGTTGTGAATTAAAAAGCGGTCAAACTGAATATGTAAATTTAAAGAGGAGTACTAGGCAGGCAATAGTTAGGTCAAAGGTTAAAGGTAACGTAAAAGATAAAAGAAATTCGTAGACACGAATAGACAAATATGATAAATTTTGCAAAATTTAAACTTAATTCTTAATCAAATTTCGAATATTTTTTAGATTTTCAACAAATATTGGATTTTCGATTTTCCATAACTCGATAGATCATTTTGTTTGAATTAATTTTCAGGATCCATGCGCTAAGGTATGTCGGCTCAATGCATGCTATTGTTCACCTCACCTCATGCTTATCGCCGAAAGGGGAATGTGAATGCCCTAAAATGAAAAGAAAAAGAAATTGGTACCAAATTTTTTAAAACATAAACTTAACTTATATATACAATAAATGAGGTAATTAAATTTAACATCCAAATAATTTGAAAATAGATTCGAGGAACAAAATAATTATATCACTAATGGCAAATTGATCGTCGATTGTTGATATTTAGTTTCCCTTCCTTCTTGTTACCTTTTGCTAACGGCTAAGCTTTTTGTTGAAGAACCACATTGGTAACAAATAGGTAAAAATAATTTCATTTCTAATAATTTTACATTGCTTAAGTTCATTTTCCGCCGATGGGAATGAATCGAAGCCAAGTAGCCTGCAACTCAACAAAAAAAAATTTGATTTGAAAAAATGCTAAAATTATTATCCTTCAAAAAATAAAAAAACCTAAAATTTAAAAAACGTTAAATTTATAAAGTCACGTTAATATTCTTTTGCAGTGATGTAAAAAAATCGACCTAAAATATTAGGTCGATTTTTAAATATTATAAATATTTATAATAAATTTATAAATATATAAATACAAATATTAATAAATAAATATAATAAATATAAGTATTTATAAGATTATATTATTTAATATTTACTTGTAATATAAGATTTAATATTTCTATAATATTATTTTTAATATTATTATTATATATAATATTATATTTAATATTTTTATAAAATAATATTTAATGCAATATTTTTTTATTTTTTGAAAGATAATAATTTTAGCATCCATATTTTTTTTTTGTTGATGTCTTGGAAAAGGTTATTTGTTGGCCAAATGGAACATAAACATTTCCATGCGAAGCAAAGAAATTGACAGTCGATTAATACAGCGATTCTCTAAAAATTGTTATCTAATGAGAATTATTGATAAAATGTTACGGTTCATTTCCAAAACTTTCATTTATCATTTCAATAAATCTATAATAAATGTTTTTTCCAAGCATTTCTTAACAAATATTTCAAAAAATTAAGGCAAAAATTTTATCACTGGATAGAATCTGAGTTATGAGTTATAACGGAAAAAAAGAAATTGATTGATAAAGTGATAAAGGTGTTGATAAAGTGATATTTTTTGAAGATATTAAAATGGAAAAACAATGCAAAAAAGCTGGTTTTTAAAGTCGGTTTATTTTTGATTCAGCTTTACCCAACAAATATTAGTCGTGAATGAGAGAAGCAATTCATAATTCATCGAAATCTCTGATAATTAATAGTTTTACAAGAATCGCAGGGAACCATTCGATTTTTCATTCAACAAGGCTTTGACGGATTTCTCATCTTATTAACATGGTTTCTCAACAGAGTTTCATGCAAATATCCTTCAGATTTTGAAATATTTCATAAAAATGAAAGAAAATCTTTTTTTAAATGGAATTCCTAAATTTATATTATAATTTACCTTAGTGTATATTTCATTAAAGCTTAAAATTCGTTAGTAACTCGATCATCGTAAGAGAAATAAAGTGATAATATAATATTCTGAATATGCTGGATAGGTAAGCTGGAACCAACAGTCGATTAATACAGTGATTCTCTAAAAATTGTCGTCTTATGAGAATTATTGATAAAACGTTACGGTTCATTTCCAAAACTAATATCATTTCAATGATCATATCAGTGGGTTATTCGCTTTTTCATTCTTTTTATGACAGCATAAGCGCACACTTACTATAAGGCAATGTTCATCAAAAGGATTTCTTTGGAACTATGGTGATTCTGTTATATTCTGAGCTATATGCTCTTATTTTATATGATTGGTAATGAATTAATTTTAATGGATGCTTTATGATTATGAATTTTTATCATATTTATGCAAAATTTTTATTTATTGAATTTCGCAATTTCATAATTTTAAAATTTCCACAACGATCCGTATTTTTATATAGATGAAAAAATGGTTTACCGATTATTGCTGTAAGCCATAGTAAACATGAATTATAAATTTTTTGGAAAGTTATTCGTGAACTGAATATTGATAAATTATTATAATATCTATTAGTGATAATATCAATCATAATATGAACATAATATAATAACATCCTAATAATAACAACAATGATAGAAATAATGATATACGATTTAAAAAAGTGATAAGTGCTAAGTATTAATTAATTATTTAAATATATAAGAAGAAAAAATTTGACGAACTCCAATTTGCCAGTGCGAAAAATGGAAAATATTGTTTCTATTTTTTCCTGGATTATGCACCACTGAAAATAGCACTTACAGCTTTAAACACTTATTATCCGCAATTACGGGAAAATATTGTTTCCTGCGTTTAATAGAATGGCGTTTATAAACCATTTGTCGGTCCTATCCAAGGAATTCATGATTAAATTCATGATTTAGTAGCTAAAAAAAGAAAATTTGACTTTTAAATTTAAATTTAAAAATTTAACTTTTAGGAGATACAGAACCATTTCAATTTGCAGTTTCAAAACATGAATATCAATAATTGCTTCCACCATCATTATAAGATGAACTTCCTTTAATTTGTTCTCAATGAAGAACGATTTGGAAAAATTTTTTTCAATTCTTGTTTTTCTATTTTTTCCTTCTTTTATTCGTAAAAATATTTCCTATATATATAAAATATAAAATTTTTCAATTTTTCATGTGCTATTTATATTTTTTGAGATTTTAAAATTTCTCACTTTTAAAGCATTTCATATCATCCTTTCCATTCAAACGATTAATGTATCAGATATAAATTCAAAAGGATTCGTAATCTCTTTATTAACGATATTATCAGTAATTATACTAAGAGAGAGAATATGTCAAATCTTGACGTAATCTTGGATGGAAATCTTAATTTTGATCTTCACTGCAGAACCATAGTAAAGAAATCCTTAGAAACATTAAATTTCTTTTTCGGTCGTTTAGAAATAAAATTCCAAGTTTTCTTATCAAAATATGTAAAGCGTTCGTTCGGTCTCTTCTTGATTATAATGCAACTTGTTCCCTCTCCCCCCCCCCCCCATGCCTACAGATATAGCAAATCAAATAAATTAATTGAAGGACTAAAAATAAAATATTTAACTCTAAAAATACTTTGTACGCCGAAATACTTCTATCCCAGTACCAATCTCACTTATAATACACTTATAATTTCGAATATATAACCTAGGCTCACTCTCGTATTAAATAAGATTTAATTTACATATATAAAATTCTATCTAAATCTGATAAATTAGATTATTCAAAATGTCATAATTTTAGGTTAAATTTAAACCGAACAAGATCTAATGAGCGAATATTATTAAAACCTAAATATATAATATATGTAATACTAAATTAAAAACGCGCAAAAACGCAGGTATTTTTTATTCGCACCATTAATTACTGGATTAAGCTGCCGAACGACGGAATTTGTGCATTATCCTTGCATACTTTCAAATATGATAAATGATAATAAATTAAATAGTATCATCCATGATATTTTAAAAAGTTTTCACCATCACTGGTTGAATTCGCTCAGTTGGCTTATCGCACTGGACAAATATGTCTGAGAGTCCTTTGGCGATAGAAATATAGGTGAATCGCCAGTATCGCCTGGATCATCCATGATATTATTTAAAAGGTCTACATTATGCAAGAAATTTTAATTTTTTATCATCCGATTATCTGTATATATATTCACATCTTAATGATTCCCCTTGATTTGCAATTTTTCTCTTTATATTGTTAATTTTTTATCATATTCCTTTTGTCGCTTATACCATAATTAGGAATTAGGAACAAAGCGGTCATTAAATGTAAAGTTAAAACCATTGCTGACGACATCGCTAAGTGACTTTTTACTAGAATGGACATTCTTATTAATTAATGGGATTGAAGAAACCGCAAAAAATACTATCAGAGGAAAATTGTGCTGTTGTTTGTTGAAAGAAAATTGCAAGAATTCATAGGAGAATATTGTTGATGAAAAATGGTTAGAAATGGTATTTTTTTTTTTGACAATTTTGATAAAGCATGATGATTAAAATATTTGGCATTTAAATTATTTTTTTAATCACAAAAAACCTATAACGCTGCGGAAAGCGAAGACTATAGGAGGTGCAATACCGTTTGATTAATTTCTATAAATAATGTGAAATTTTCAGAATTCACTGAAAGCAATTTAAATGATTCGTTTCAGTGTGACGTTTCTCCTATTTACCATTTTTGTTAGTTCGTTTTTTCCTTTATAAAAAAATTTTTCAATTCAATTTTTTAAAATTAATAATTTTAAAAATAATTATAAAATTAATAATTAATTTTTAAGCGAAAAATATTGGAAATATTTTTATTTAAATTTAGCAATAACTTCGTTTTCAATATTTCAGTTTTCAATTTTTCGAAAATCTTCATTTGCACTAAATCGAATCATTTCTGTGTCCTTAATTTTTTGTTAGAAGAAGAGAAAGCCTCTTCGCTTCTTTGAACCTTTTTGCAAATTTGTTTTGAAATTTTTTCAGCTATTAACAATTTGTGCTGTATACAGTGATAAAAAATGTGGTAAAAACGAAGTTAAAAGCGATTGCGCTGGTTGTGAATTAAAGTGTGGCCAAAGTAAAAATGTCAGTTTTGAAATTTTGATAGGAAATATTGTGGATATAATAATTATGTGATTAAATTGGTCAAAAAATGGTCTAAAGCATGGAAAAACCTATCAGATCTCATAGCTGTCAAACTTTATTTGACCATATGACCATATGAAAAAAATTCAAAAAGGCATTGAGAACAACACCACAGGCACTAAACACCAGCTCATAATTAAAATCCAAACACCGGCAAACCAATTTTTCTAATACCATAACGATAAAAAAAAATTCATGGTCTCGAATAGCAGTTTTATTATAAAAAATTAAGCGTAAGCCTTAATCCGAATGCATTAGTAGACTTATAAACCCAATTTGCATGTTTATTGGTTTTTTATTTTTTTTTACATTTTATTGGATAATTTTGTTTGAATTGAATTGATCTTCAGAAACTATGCACTACAATATGTCGATTCAAGGAATGCTACTGTTCACCTCATGCATATCGACGAAATGCATCAGGGAAATGCGTGCGCATTAGTGAATGTCCTAGAAGGAAAAGGATAGGTTGATTTTGAATTCGGAAAAGATTTAGATAAGATTCAACTTCCTAAAAGTATGAGGATTTGCACGTAAAATAGATTTTACAGATAAGAGTAAATGATTAAAATTTTGGCAATTTTCAAAATTTTCATGAAAATTATATTAAAAATTTATGCAATCATATTAATTTGAAAAATAAAAGAAAAAATAAAATATTAGCTACACCACTAGAGACCAAATGGTTCAGTGGGCTTTGGCTTTCATTCCAAAACATTAACGCCCGGTTTTATTCCTTATAGGAATATATAAGTGTGCTTTCAAATGACCTAAAAAAAACGACATCGCTCATCCATCTTCCAATAATTTGCATCAGTTTTAGCTTTGCTGACGAATAAAAAAGAAGCCTTTTCACTTTGGAACTACTTTGAATACATAGGTTGAAACAATGCAAACATTACATTTTTGACGATTTTGCTTTGATATGAATTTGACTAATTTATTGCCGCCTATGGATAGGAAGTGATGTCCTCGGGCGAAATTAGTATTAAGTTCATGCTACCCTTTTCTGGAACATTCATTTAAAATGTTGATGAGAGAAGAAAAATGAAATACATAATTTTTTTTGCAGGCTCGCGAATGAGAAAAAGAAAAAAGAACTGAAACTGAACTAAGGCAATGATATGATTCGTAGAAAAGATTACCATTGTTCAAAAAAAACAAATATTTTCATAGCAAATAAAAAAATTATCAAAATAGAGAAACTAGAAATTTTTTTTTATAAATTTTTTTCATAGCAAAAATATATTTTAAGGGAAATTTATCACTGAATAATGATGTATATAATAATATATTATTAATCAATATTATTACAAATTATAACGGCGAACATATGAAATGATAAATTTTTTGATAAAAATCAAAATTTTAATTTTAATTTTTGATAACTTTGCAAATTTTGATAAATTTTTTAAAGGTTTGAAAATTTTACTAGTGATAGAATTAAAAATGCCATATGATTTCTTTTTATACCGCTCATTTCTGTTGGTTTTCTTCTTCTAGCTGGAAACCAGAGTAAGAGAATGTTATAAGCAAGGAGATTTATGCGCCTTCAGCAAGATCTGAATTTCATGGGTAAGTTTTATTCCCCGCCATGAACAAGAATAATCGAAATATAACCATAATCAATTGATCCTATATTTTTCTACACTGTATATATTTGTGCACATTAAGCAGCAATGAACATGAATAGATCTTCAGGACTGGTAAATCTCAGAAAAATACTGATAAATAAAAGTATCTACAATTAATTAAAACTTTTCAATGGCTATTTAGTGGCTAGACAAAAAAATATTGGTGAAAGCAAATTTTCCAACATGGCGAAAATTATCACATTTCATAAATGAATGAAGATGGGGGAGGGATGGGAGAGGAGGTTTAAGGTTCAGCTGTCCTCGTGTGAGTCCTAAGAAAAATTTTTCACCGTTCTAGCAAAAAAACAGTGAATTAGAAGTGCCACGTTAAGTGATGCATTTATATCTTGCTTATTCGTTGAAGGATATGTTAGAAGGAAAAATTCTTCGTATAATATTCGAGGCATTGGTAGAATCAAACATTGCATGATTTTGATAAAGCGAGACATAAAATTCAGCAGCAACTATCGTCATAGAAAAAGCACTACAACGTTCTGAATATATTCAATGCTAACCTAGAGTCAGCCAATTTGTACAATGGTTCACAAGGTTTTCATGACATTTTATTTTTTGACGATTGTCACCGAGAGCCATCGAGACGCAACCAAGGCCAATTCCATTTCCGTAATAAAACTGAGGCTTACTCATCAATTTTTTTGCAGCAGAAAAGACATACCATCAAAACCAGGGCATCCGATGAAGATCGTGGCAACTTTAAGAAATTCAGAGCCTAATTTTATTGTCTTATGCATTTTATTATATTTATTCAAAACTATTAGGTTGAAAAGGTTTAATAAATATTTCTAAATTTTAAAATATTATAATTGCACTGCAAATGCAAGGAGTTTTTTGGATTGCTCTATACCGTTGCGTACGTTAAATAAATAAACATTTATAGTAATAATAATTAAAAACTATAATTAATAATAATAAACAGATTATATGATAATATTCTATGAATTAAAATGAACAAAATAGAATTTCTTAAAAAATTTAAAAAAGTAATAAATGATTGTTTAATGGTGATAATGAAAATAAGAAAAATTACCTTAGATCTTATTTTATTAATAAAAACACTGTTTTTCTGCAGCGCGATCCATTTGAAAAGATGCTTATAATTACAAATTTGAGGTTTTTGCAAGAGAAAAAGGGTTCTATTAGAAAAGTCCAAGTCCACGAGAGACTTCCAGAGGATTAATATTATATTAATACTGAAATATACTTCCTTCAATGGAATGGCAGAAATCATAGGTTTCACTTTCTATTAGGGAATGATTATTCTTCACATTTCAAATAATTCAGAGAATTTGTGCTTAAATCGAATTCGTTCAACAATTCAGAAAAAAAGAAAGAAGGGAACTAATGAAAGGAATTCAACAATTGCCATTTGCAAAGTAGTAATGTTATTGAAAATGGAAACAAAAAAGCAAAGCTTCTTCTATTTCGTTTCAATGAAACGAAGAAAAAACAATTTATTTAAAATAATAATAAAAAAAATAATTCTTTCGCCTATCCATTTTTGTTGAGATATTTTTATTTTAATTGTAAAAAAAAGGAATTTGAGATTTTGAAATTTGAGATTTACTTTTAAATCACCTGCAGTGAAATATATCATTTAAAACAAATAAATAAATAATTTCGCATCGTATTGTGTTTTTGCTTAAAAAGTAGCCTTAGGGTTACGATTACCTTTCTGGTAGTAGTAAACCTGTTACAAATAATGAAATGAAGTTCATTGAGAATCTCTTCGTACTTCTCTCCTCCGATCGTTCTAAGCCAAAACAGCCATTTTTATTAATTAATAATTGAGGCAAATAAATAATAAAAAAGTTTTGTCGAAGGATGAAAATATATGCTAAAAATTTAGTGAATATTGTTAATGGAGATCGTAGCAAATAATTTCTTTTGATAATTTCAACTGAAAGTAATGAGAATAACAGTAAAAGTATAAAAAATATTTTGATTAAAATCTTTTTCCATTTACCATAAGTTATAATCACCACCATAAATAGTGGAAAATTTTCAGTAAAACTCAGTAAAACAAATTCTGATGCTTTTCCTACTTTTCATTTATGTTCGTTCAGCGTTTCATTTATAATAAAATATTTCAATATTTCATTTATAATAAAAATATTATAAATATAAAAATATTTATAATTTTGTAAATATAAAAATATGATTAATTAAGAAAAATTAATAATTTTAAAGAATTAAAATATTGGAAATAATATTTTTTGAAGCACAATTTATCTATATTTTCGTTTTTAATTGGAAGTGCTATTTTTTCGCTGAAATTTTTATGAAAAGTTATGATTGGGCGTTCCTCAATTTTTTCAATTTTTCAATCTCAATTTTTTGGAAGGAGAAAATCTTTTTGCTTTTTTCGACCATTTTAACTTTTCTTTGAAATTTATTTCAGCTAGTAACAATTTGTGTTGCGTACGGTAATGAAGAATGCAGTGAAAATGGAATTAGGAGCAACCGTATATATTGCTGGTCCACCTATACGTTCAAAATCTTTCCTGACTGTATCAGTCCAGATCATGACTGGCCTACCTCGCTTTTAACGCCATCCATCGCAGGGTTTAGCGAGTTACGAAATATGAGATAAATATACGGTGGACGACGAAAAACATGCCCTAACCACCGAAGGCAACGCTCTGTGATAACATTATTAATAAAGGTGGTGAGCGAAGGCGTATGATCATGTGCGATCATGTGATATTTCATTCGTTTGATGGACCCATAAAATATACCTTAGATAAGAGTGGTCAAAGGTAGATTGCTTCTTAATATCTTTCTTTTTTTTGATCAGAGGTTTAAGGTATAACGATTAAAATGAAAATTCATGTCTCGAAGAGCAATTTTCAGCACTTCAAGAAATTTTTTAAAATTTCAACCTACCTAAATTTTGAATATTTTAAACGAACATAATTTATAGCTCAATATCTATGCTCATAGGATCTTTAATCTTTCACTCCTTAGCAGTGCTATCGTTGGATTGGAATCGAAGCGATGCTGCGTCTTTACCGAAAAATAATTTAGGACGTGAAAATTATTACAATTTCTTTCAAAAAACAAAAAACGTATTTTTTTCTTGGAGAACCAATGCCGAAAGTAATTGTTGTGAGCGATTCCATGAAAAAAGTTGTGGCCAAATAAAAAATAAACTTTTCTAAACAATGAAATTGTGTTAACATTTCATAAATAAAGAAAATGTATTCTTTAAATAAATGGTGCACATTTAATATTTTTTTCCACAGTTTCTTGACGAATATATTTCAAAAAAATTGACATAAAAAATTTGTGGAATTTAAATGATGTTATCCATTGAATGGAATCTGAATAATGTTATCATTTATAAACCAGTCTTATTGCAATGGAGAAAAAAAACTGGCCTGGCTGATAAAATAATAGATTTTTGAAGATATTAAAATTAAAATGATGAGAATATTTTAAAAAATGCAATAAGACTGGTATATAACTTCCTTGCTGTTGGCTCAGCTTTATCCAACTAGTACGGAAAAAATAGTCGTGAACAAGAACTATGTCGTTGCCAAGATCTACCAGGACCAAGACCAAGATTTAATGTCAGGCCTACTTCGAGCCATGAGCCGAAGAACCTACCACTCGATCCTTCATTTCTCTGTTATTTCTGACCAAAATTTCTCATCGTACTGAAAGGCCATGATGCGACCTCTAATGGTAGGGGTCCATTTGCTGGCTTTCCTAATTAATATTCGAGGCCTCTTTTAATTCATCCCATATAATGTAAGAATATTTCAGATTTTTTCTTAATAAGTTGTTTTCAATTCACTGCAACAGAAAATTAAAAAACTATCGTGAAAATGAAAAAAACCATTTTTTACGGTCATTCTAGGGTCAAAACATTTGTATATTTTAAAATTTCGCTAAAGGCATAAAATTCGGCATTTTGTGCAACAGCAAGCAACTATTATCGTTGAAAAGTAAAGTGCTGCTAGAATATGTTGCTTAGCAAGCTGGAATCATTTTATTACCTCAAATATTCTCAAAGCATGGTCCAAGATGGACTTCCATGCACTTCCATGACCATATCACTTTCATAATCGTATTTTTTCGCTTTTCACTTTTTTCTATGGTAGAGAAAGGGAACATTTTTTCTAAACCAGTATTCATTAAATGAGCTTTTACGAATCTTCTAGGATCCCTGGCGAACTTGTGGACCCTCTTTTGGAAGAGACCCTAAAAGATATGATTGGTTTTTGATGATAATGATCGTAGAAAAATTAATGTTTTTTAAGTTAAAAATAATTAATGAATAAAATAAAAAATAAAATAATTATAACTTTGAGAAAGTTTTACAATTCACTGGATCCATGGAGTGGTTTGACAACTACGTTTTAAACCATAGCAAATCTGAATTATAAAACTTTTAGGAAATTTTAATCATGGGCTGAATGTCGATAAATAATTAATATTTGTTAATAACAGTATCAACAATAATAAATTAATTAATAATAATATAATGACAATAATCAATAATAATAACAACAATAATAATAATGGTATTGCTTGATATATAGCGGTGATATGAAAAAAAAACCAGTGATCTGCAAAAAAAAACGTGATGTGTGTTACAAGAAGAAAAATTGACTTGAACTCCAACTCGCCAATGTCAATCACCAAGAACCAAAAATATTTTGTTTTCTGGCTTAGGCATTATTGAAAATGCCATTTAAAGCTTTAACAACTCTTATTATCCGCTGGGTTTGTCGGAAAACATTGTTTCGTACACAAAAATAGAATGGCGCTTACAAACCATAATTCTTTTTAAAACCAAAATTTTTTTTATATTTTAAAAAATTTTATTATATTTTGATTCTTCCAATTCTAGTTTTCTTATTTTCAGTCTTAAAAATATTTCCTGCTTTTGAATTTTCCGTGCTTTTCATGTGCTATGTGGAATATTTATATAGAATATAGAATATTTTTTGCGATTTTTAGATTTCTTACTTACAAAGCATTCCAAGAACATTCATATTTTCCAAAAAATTTATATTTTAAAATTACCTGCAATGAAGCCTTTTGTTGTTGTAATTAACTTTAAAATAATACAATATATATTATGCTTAAAATAAGGAAAATACATAGATTTAGGGCTTTAATCCTTGTTGCTTAGGATAAGAATAGGCAAATCACTAAATGTAAAATTATTGCCGACTATTGCTGACGAAATCCTTGCTTCTCATCCCTAAGCGGTTGTCACCCCTATATTAATTCATGGAATTAAACAAAATCACAAAAGTTATTAGTAGAAAAAAATTCTCTGTTGCTTGCTCAAGCAAAATTGCAAGAAATCGAGAATATCGTTGAGGAATAAATGGTTGCAAATGGAATTTTTTTTGGACAATTTTGCTAAAGCGTGATGATTAAAATATTTGGCATTCGTTTTCCGCCGGCCACAAAACTGTGAAGAATGAAGAATAAAGAACACTATGCAACACTAACATTCGATCATTTTCTATAAATAATGTGAAATTTCCAGAATTCATTAAAAGCAATTTTAAGTGATTCGTTTCATTGCGATGTTTCTACCACTTTTCATTTTTGTTAGTTCGTCTTTACCTTTATAGTAATAAAAATAATTTTTAATTAAAATTTAATGTTATAATTAATTAAATTATATCATAATATAATTCAATATTACAATATAATTGAATTATAAAAATATTACTTTTTGAAGCTCATATAGTAATATTTTCGTTTTTTTTTTTTTTTTAATCTTTATCAGTTCTAATCAGCTGTTTGGAATCATTTTTAATTCCTTAATTTTTTGAAATGAGTCTCTTCGCTTCACCGAATCTTTGATAATTTATTTCAGATATTAACAATTTATATTACAAACGGTGATAAAGTTTGTGGTAAGAATGAAGTTAAAAGCGACTGCGCTGGTTGTGAATTAAAATGTGGTCAAAGTGAATCCGTAAGTTTTAAAAAGAAACATTTTATAAGAAAATCATGTATGTAGTTAGTCAGGTCAGAGCTAAAAGGTGAAAAAATCTATAATCTCGAGTAGCAATTTCGAGGCTCAAGCAAATTTATTAAAAATTTAAATCTTCATTCAGATATTGAGCACTTTAAACGAAAATGACTGATAATCCAATATATATGCTTATAGGATTTCTAATTTCTCATATCTAAATGGATAACTGTTTGAATTAATTTGCAGGAACCATGTCCTGCGATATGTCGGCAAAACGAATGTTACTGTCCATCTGATGCTTACCGCCGAAATGCATCAGGGGAATGTGTGCCCATTGCTGAATGCCCTGAAGGGAAAAGAATGAGTTAGTTTCGAATTGACTGAAAAATTCAACTTACTTAAACAAATTAAAATTTTTTAAAAAATTTTAAAAAAATTCAAAAATTTAAGGAATGATTTTAAAAATGTTTTGACAATATTTTTGCCATGCAAATTTTAGGTGTTTTTTTTTATAAATTTAGAAAGTGGAAAAGAAAATTTTAATTGCAATGGTTCAGTGGATTCTAGGTCTTGTTTTGGAACGCCGATACTGGGGTTCAGTTCTCAGTTCGATGAAAGCATATATTTAAAAAATTATATTAGTGATTCATCCGCACTTCTAAAGCCAAATGATTCTTTGGTAATATTCACTTGGTCAAACAAGCCAGCAGACTGAGCTTAACTAGAGATAATGAATGCTCCTAAAAAAAAACTTTTATCATCAGAATGACGAACTTATCATTGAATGATAAGATGGTATATAATTCATCTTCAGATAGGTCGAAATCATTCAGATAGATGAGTTTGGCTATGGCCATTTTTATTGACACCGATAGGTAGGAATCCATGCGGCATGCGTTCCCCTCTCCCGACAAAAATTAAGAATATGCCAAAATTATAACTATCTCGTCCTAAAAATAAAACGAACCGAGAAATGAAATATATAATTTCTGTAGGGCTGCGAAGAAGCATGCAAAATTGAACTTAATGAAATTGATGTCATGGAAAAGGATAAAAGAATGAAACAGAATGATATGAACAATAAAAAAATGGCATCAAATTCGAAAACTGCAGTAAATTGTTTTTTAACTTTTTTTCACAAATATATTTCAAAAAAATATTGCAAAAATAGATATATGAATAAAATATACGAATAAAATTAATAATTATAAGGGATTACAAATACAAATAAAAATGACTTATTTTTTGATACAATTTTGATAATAAAATTTAATATTTGATACGAAATTTCTCTGAGATTGGAAACTGATAACAAAAATTATGATAAAAATTATGATAAAATGCAAGAGAATTGATCTATTTATTTTTAACACCTTTCATTTATTATTCTTGAATTGCCTTTTCGCAACTGGAATAATAGAGTTATTTATGCGTAGGAATCATTATATGCTTTCATGTTACTCTCAACGGGAAACAAGAATCAAAATACTCCATTGTTCGACTTTTTTTGCGAAAAAATAGTCCTTGGATTTTTAAATAACTTCTATTAAACCATTAAGCAACAGTAAGTGAGAATGAATACTCATTGGATTTGGGAAAAAATAAGAATATAAAAGTACGCACGTAAGAAATTAATTAAGGCTTTTTTCAACAGCTATGAAAAAGAAATATCAGTGAAAGGAATTTTGGCAACGTGATAAAAAATAATTGGTAATGTTTCAACCAGATTTTTCTTCTTAAACGGCTAGTGGCAAAAATTGCTCGCTGTATCAACAGGCATTAGGGGATTCGAAGCTGCATTAGATATGGCAACTGCTAATTAGTCGCACTTACTCTACGTATTTATTGAAATATTACCAGTAAAAATCTCGACATAATATTCGCGGTAACCAATAAATTCAAATTTATCCTTCGCACTTTTGTTTAAAGTTATATGCAGTTTTTAATGTTGATGCATACATAATTTTCGAATTTTGAGAAAAATAATCAAATAAATATTATAAATATGAAAGAAAAAATTTTTTTGCCAAAAGATAAAATTGAACTTTAATCATCACAAAAAACGCAAAATGGTACTATAATATATTAAAGCACGATGACCCTATAATCAGTCAATTAGCGCAATGGTTCCAAACGAATGGTTTGAGGACTCATAAAACATTTTCATGATCTAAGAAATTATTCGCACCTTTTACCCTTTCTCTGAATCTCTAAATCGTTTAGCCAAATTGGATAAAGTTCGTAAATGAGAGTTAAATGAGAAAAAATAAATAAATATTCTGAAGAATCCCAGGTTCTTTAATTTAAAAGGCTTGAGAACCACTGTCCAAATATTTCTATCTTAAAGAAAAACCTAACGAAATAATATTAAAGGATTGAATAAGCTAGCTCCAGTTCGATATAAAAAATATAGTAGGATTGCGTAAGATCCAGTCCAAAATATTTTTATATATATTGTATGCTATATAAGCCCGGAGGGCTATTCGATAATATTATTCAATATGATCAGATGCAAAATAATAGCAAATTTTATAGATTTTTTTCTTCCGCTACTGATAATGATAATGATAGTTATCGATCAATTTTTTTATCAGTTGATCAGTTTATTACTGAATTATTTGAACAACAAACATAATGGTAATATACTTTGACTTCCCCACTTATAATTTGAAGTAATCATAGTTATTACTCCTATTTTTCTCAACATTGATTATAGGTAAAGAATAAAAATTTATTCCAGCGATGAGGACATTGTGGATTTTCTGATGCATTTTCTGGACTTGTAGACTTTTTAGGGAAATATATGCATCTTTATTATTCCCATTTAAAGATGGACTAATTTACTTCATAAATTTGAACCAATATTATCCATTAATTATGAATCATGGCAAATAACCATGAATTTCTTCATAAATAGGATTCATAAATATTTTCATATTATTTTTTTATTTGTAACTCTAATTTATTTTTTTATTTGTAACTCTAATTTATTGATGGATTCCATAAATTTCATTAGATCACCAAAGTTATAAATGTTAAAAAAAAAGATTATATATTCGATTTAATAATGTAATAACCACTAAAATTATGCCATCGAGTTAGGAGGATTAGCATTATTTTAATTTATATAATCACTTTTTTCTTCTTCTAATAGCCTACACCATTACCAGTTAGGTTGACTCAGCTGGCCACAGGGGTGAGGTTTTAATCACATTACAATTATTATTCGTTGTTTTTCGCCGATTTATTCGCACATTTTTAATGAATATGCTAGTGCTTTTTTCCTTCATAATTGTTCTAATCATACAATTATTTTATTAATAAATGATTTATTTAAGAAATATTTATCAATTTAAAGGGATAGAAATATTTACTCACTCAAACTCTTTAAATTATCCATAAAAATTAAGTCTTATTTTATCATTTATCAATTTTATAATTTTATAATTTTATAATCATAAAACATGAAAACAATTTGTGATTATCAATATGAATATAGTTTTTTTATGAGAAAAGTTCAGATAATAATCATTTCAATGCCGATGAAATTGATAAATTCGTATCATAGGTTAAAAAAATAAATGAGAATGATGTGGTATGATATGGCAATGACATCTCTATTATAATAGTTATTCAATCGTTAACAATGAAAATAGATAATGTCGATTTTTTATCCATGTAAAAATTGGTTTAGCAAAATTGTTTTTTTAATTTTTTATTTATTTATTTTTCATTTATTGTTAAAAGATAACGTCGATTTTTTTCGATGAACAGCTAAAATATAAATTATTAGTTTTACTTTTTGCTTTTAATTAGTTATTTTTTTAATTATTTAATTTAGTTTTTTTAATTATTTATTTAATTATTTAATTATTTTAATTAATTATTTATCTATTTTTTTCAAAAATTATTAATTATTATCGTTTATTTGTTCAGAAAAATCAAATCAAGCAAAAAAAACTGTTTTATTTGTATTTATATATTTTGCAGAAGAAGCATTAAACATGAAAATAATTTATCGCTATCGATCACTATTTTTACAGTTATTCTCGTAAAATTATTTAATTAAAATTCGTTTTTTAATTTAATTTCGAAATTTTGGATTGTTTTCCATAAGAATTAAACGGTATTTTTAATTATGCAACGATTTTTTATATTAAACATTGCTAAATTAGCATTGCTAAATCTCTTCTCAGTTGAACTTAGAATGACTATTAATAGCTTTTAAAGAAACCTTATCACTTTTTTATTGTTATGGGAAGATAGGTGGGAAAAAAATAAGCAAATGAAATGGGACTAAACGATGAAAATCACAACTGATTAAAGATGTGCGTGTAAATTTATTCAATACCTTTATATATATATATATATATGAAGTGAAGACCAAAAGCAATTGCAGCGATAATTAAAGCATTTGGAACTATAACTCCTAAACAAGAAAAACGGCCTCAGCAGATTCTGAGAATAATATCAGAGTCCTCTATCCAGAATATCTCTATCTGCAGTACTGGGAACAGCCTAAGGTACTTCTCAACCTTTTAGGCATCTACTAAGGGACATGAGGTTCAGGAGGGTCACTATCATCCACAGAGCCTGAGAAAAAGATTTTATGAATGGAAAAATCATTTCCAGTTTGCTAGTTAGTTAAGCACGATTAGAAATTTTGTTAGGTAATCACTTTGCGATGTATGAAAAAAAAGTTGGCAATAGGTAGAACATACATTTCCTACTATTTTATTACTAAAATGAAGGAAATGTTAGCATAACATAATTTGTTAGCATATTTCGAATTTTATTTGTTGAAGATGAATCAAGAGAGCTGAAATATTATTATTTATTTATTGAAAGGTTGGTAAGATTTTCGAAGACTAATAAATTCTTCACTATTATTTGAAATATTTTTACTGTTTAATAAAAAAAATTCTTTTTTTTGCTTCTTAATTAAATGTAATAAATGAAATGAAATATTTTAAAAAATTTTTTTTTATTAATTGGACTTATTATAAACTTATCATAAAACTTAGTCTATATTTTAAAACTAATTTAAACTTGCATATCATTTTTAAAATATTAATTTTTCAAAATATTAATATTAATATAATATTTTTTTAGAATTTAGTGACGATTATAATTTTTTATCATAATTTTATGAATTTTATTATCATTTTGTGAAATAACAAATAAATAAATCAATAAATAAATAAAAATAAGTAGTTACTTATCATTTCTGGTAATATATGCTTCACTTATTGTCAATAATATGATTAGAAATTTTTGTCAAAAAATTTTATGGAGTTAAAAGCACTAGTGAGGTGACTAGCATAATCCGGATTTTGCAATAACAGGTTTCTATAAATGTTTACGAATCCAGGCAATAATCATTCACCTATCCTATTATATATCAACATTTTTTCAATTATGGATGTATTGCTGCAAAAAAATAAATTGAATTTTAATTTTCATTTATAGAAATTCTCAATTTTTTTAATTTTTTTAAATTTTAACTATTTTTGTTTATATGCGAAAAACTTTTTTTAAATTCCATACTTTTTAAATATATTTTTTTATATAAAATGTCCATTTTTATATTAAACAATTTAAGAAAAAAACCTAATTTTTTTATTATTTTATTCGTTTTTGCCATACAAATAATAAAATTTTTTATAAATTGAAAATATGCCTTTTTATGAAAAATGCCAAAATTTTTATTTATTCTATGCTTTATTTTTAACGCTAATGGCCCATGCCATTTGCCATTTACGATGGAGTTAGGCTTTAGTATAAATGACAGCAATTTTTTAGAGTGAATGCAATCGAAATTCTTCTAAAAAATCATGAATAAATTGGAAATTGATGGAGTATTTGAAGCAGTGAATGGAATTGCAATTTGTAGTAATAAAGAAATTGCTTATTTATATGAACCGCAATTAAATTCAATTATTTCGATTAATTTATTAAATAATAATCGAACTGTACTCAAATGGTTTTTTAAAATTTTTCTTCAAATTTTTTATTTTTTAAAAATTTTTTTACCATTTCTGGTTAAATTTGCATCGCTGGACTGGATTGCTGAGCCAAATAAAATTCACCTAAGATCCACTTGGCGAGAGAAATATATAAACGGGTCATCAGCATCACGCGATTTTTTGCACTCATAGGGAGAGTAGAACCCCGATATCGGTGCTCCAAAACTGCAATGAATGCGACAACCCACTTAGCCATCCTTTCTTCTTCTAATTTTTGGATTAAATTTTAATTTAATTTTCTTATAAAATTTTTATGAATATACTACTATTATCATTATATTTTTTCTTAATACGATTTTTTCGATAAATTCTTTTCGTATTTTTTAGCCATTAAAAAAAATTTCTATTTAGTTTAGTTAATTTTCAAAAGTAGAATAGAAGAAGAATTATTATTTTTAATCATAAATTTCAATTAATATTGTTAATTTAATATTATTATTAGTTTATTATTATAAATATTAACATTTATTAATATTATTATTATGATACTATAATTAATAATTATTATTGGTGTTAATAATATTATATTAATAAAATATTAATAATTAATAAATATATTAATGATTATAACTTTAATGTAATTGTGATTAATTAAATAAATATAATATATAGGCATAAAGATTCGTACAATAATTATCGACAATGGATATGTTACTGTTTATTTACAATCGAACGAGAGAATACAATTTTCCTTCCAATTTTATTTTATAATAAGAAATGCAAACATTTTGTCCTTAAAACATTTGTTATCGATGAAAGCAAAAATATTTTATATAATTTACAAGAAAATGTGATAAATGTTGATGGAATTCGTTTGGACCGTTTCGCATATAATGCTCATAAGGACGACGAAAAATTACAGGTAATTTTTTTTTAATGCACGTATTTTAGGAAATACTAGAAAGAGGCGAGGATATATAAAGGAGTTCGAGAGATAGTACCAACGATTTTAAGAGGATATTACGAGATATAAATTTAATTAAGTATAATTAGTACATTTTTAGTTTAATTTTATTCAATACAATGAAATTTGTATTTAAATTTGTAGAATTGATAAAAGTTTGTTAAGAAAGTATGAAAAATGATGAAGGTTTTTTTGCTAATGAATTGGAATACACCAAAATTATACCAAAAAATTATACACCAAAATTTAAGGTTTAAGGTTTTAAGGTTTTAAAAATTTAAGGTTTTATTATTATTAAATATTACTAAATATTATTTTTAGATAGTATTTTATGAACGTTTTACACGGCATTCGTTAATAGATAATAATAATATGCCTTTATATGCATTTGTTTATTGCACATTTGATTGTTATAGTCTGCAGCTAAAAACCGAACGAGGAATGTTACCACCTGGTCAATGGGAACTACCTTTTATTGCATACCAGGTTCAACACTGTTTCTTTATTATCTAAAGTTCTTTTTTAATTTAACATTATGAAATCACTGCCTATTTTTAGAATATTCATTTCATATCTACACAGTTGGATTCAACACAAATTGCAAGCCTTTTATTGGACTCAAACATGGTAAATGGTGACTGGAATATAAGAGTTATAGGAAATTCTGGTGTTGATAATGATGAATTTCCACCACGAAAAGGTGAGTCATTTTGGTTAATTAATTATTTTCATATGAAATTTCACTACAATTTTTTGAGACTTCTACTAAGTTTCAATTTAAGCTTAAGCGACGTTTTGCATTAAGAATTCGAACACCGTAAAGATTCGATTCTTGAAACTTACATGTTTAATAAACTAAATTTATAGGAAGAAATATTTAACATTAAATAATGGATAAATAATTAAATAATGGAATAATGATAGATATAAAAAAAAAAATCGTGCGAATCTCTTTATTAATTTTAATACCTTAATTCTTTCAATAATTATCTTTTATCTTTTTATCATTTCATCATATTTATATTATCTTTATTTTTTAGCAGTTTGGTGTAATGCTTGGAGCAAAAATATGGTTTGGTTTATTATCTGTCAGAAAAATGTTAATGAACAACAACAACTGTCAAGAATTATAACTTTATGGCAATTGGAACTATTAAATTGCAAATGGAGAAGGTAGGTTAACAATTTAATTTTTATCACAAATGGAGAATGGCATAATGATTTGTTGCTTCTTCCTTTGAGTGTCAATGCTAGAATTTCATTGCCAGCGGGACTTAAACTATCGTTCAAAAATTCGCGTATTCTATAAAATCTTTAATTTCCTGCTCCAAGAGCCCGCTGGAAAACTTCTCCGATCCAATAAACCAACGAAACCAAAACTAACCATAAATGGGATCCTAAAAATTTATTCAGCCGAATTTTATAGTTACCGAATTTTAAACAAAATTGCATAAAAAATTTTTCATAATTTCTCAAAAAGAGCAAAAAAACGCGGTCGAAATTAGATAATTGCATAAATTTTTCATTATTTTCGATATTTTTTGTGTGATTTTCCAGGATTTTTTTTAGAATTTCGGTGAATATTGAAGCACCTTATGATGCAAAAAATTTCTCTCTTCGAATCGATGATAATTTAAATGCTCTTTTACATTGTGATTGGAATGATAAAAGTGCTGTTTTCTTTAAATTCACAAAGAATTTATTGGTTATTTTTTTCAATATTTTATATAATATTTCAAAATTCTATATTTATAGCTTTCAATATTTTATAATTATCATTGAAATTCATTCGTTAAATTGCTTTAGAATTTGGTAATATTTTAATAAATTAAATAATATATAATATCCAAATTTATATAAATCAATTATTACAACAAATTATTATAACTAATGAATCTATTATTTAATTGATAATTTCTTAAATTTTTCTCATTAATTTCTCATTGATTACAAATTTTATGAAAGATAATAATTAATATCAACATTATCAATATTAATAATAAATTTAAAATAAATTTTAAATATGATAAGTATAACGAATTTTCAATAGACAAATTTTAAAATTAAATTACCTTAGAGATAATAGTAAATTTAAAGTAAATAGTAAAATTAATTAAATTAAAGTAAAATTATTTAAGAATTATTGAAAGCAAAACATTGAATTTAATATAAAATTCTTATAAATAAATGTAAAAAATTTTTTAGATTTTAAAAGATACAATCGATGGAATCGAAAATGAGGAACAAAATGAAATCGTAGCATCCGATGAAAATGAACTTTATATTGCAGCTGTTTCATCGAATGAAGTAATAATAATAATAATAATAATAATAATAATAATAATAATAATAATAATAATAATAATAAATGATTTTGAATTGAAATTTTTAATAAATTTTCTTATTAATTTCTTTTTTTAATATTCATTTTCTTTCCTAAGAAAATATTTTAAACAAAAAATTTCAAAAAATTAATAAAATTGGCATTCTATGATTTTCCAGTAACTTTTCGTAATAATCGACTTATCACTTATCATTTGAAGGCTTAAGTAAATTGGTTTAGTAGCGATCGATTTTATTGTAGGATATTTATTGAAGTGAAAATAAGTAAGGAAACAATAATTAAACCTAAAGCTAAGGAATAACAATCAAATTTTTAGTGGCACTATTTTAAGGTTATTTGCCCGATTTGTTTGGATACTTATTTAGACCCAAGGACACTCGCCTGTGGCCACTCGATGTGCAACAAGTGCATAGAACAAATGCAAATCTCTTGTAAATTTCATTTCCTTCTCAACCTTTTTTTTTGAATATTAAATTTTGAATTCAGGTTATTCTACAGATTATTCTTTATTTATTCATTTGTGTAGTAATCTTTTATATTCCCTATAAAAATAAATACAGTAATCTTTAGAACAGTAATTTTTTGCAAAATCTTAACGTTAATGCTAGCTCAACTGATATGTAAAAAATAGTCAAACATCTGATTAGGATAACGAAATCTAATCAGAAATGGCAGGCGCTATTAAAAATAAACTTCATCAACCTATATAAAGAATAAAGAAATTTTATCATTTTTGTTAGAATATTTCGCAAGAGTTTTGTTTCTTTTAAAAAAAAATAACGGAATTTATTATCCGCGAATAAATCGCAACTATATTGACTTAGCAGTATCAGCTGATACATGAAATATTTTTCATCATTTTCATGAATTTTATTAATAGTGCATCTCACGAATTTTAGCTGGAAGTACTATAATAAAGTGTTTCGCATGTCGAAAAGCAACTACTATACCACCATGGGGATTGCCAATTAATTTTGGTCTAAGAGGTTGACGATTTGACGATATTTTGTAATTCTAAAGCTTTACTTCTATATTCATTTTTATTATTACTGAATATAATTAATACTAAGATAATAAACTAATATAACACTAAGATAAGATAATATGTATGTGGAAAATATTTTATCAGTGTATTGCTCATTTTTTTTCCATTCATAGTTTAATATTAGAAAAGTCTTATTAGAAAAGTCTTAGTCTTATTTTACAATTTTATGTTTAATTTTATCAATTATCAGTTAATTCGTCATCAATTTCAGATGCTATAGATAGTTTGGAAAATGCACGACGATTAAGCATTTCAAATATAAGGTGCAGTAAATGTCGAACGCAGTGTGAGGAATCAGCAGCTTGGATCTGCCTAAAATGCTTTGCCGATCATATTTTTGATATAAGTTTTTGTAAAAAATTTTGTAATTTTTAGCAACCTTAAGTGCATCAATAAAATTTCTTATTATATTTCTATAAATTTTATGGAATTTTATAGTAATGAAATATAAAAAAATGAAAATTTTAAGATTTTGGATCTGTTTCGTATGATAATTCTATCGAGAATATTTCAAAAAATTTCACTTTATGCGCTCATTGCATACTTAAATATCATCATGATCATCGCATTGATGAATTGCTTCGATTCAGGTAAAATTAATGCCGGATTTTCTTAATTTCATTATAAAAGATTTTCACCGTTATGCTCATTCGTCATGGATTATCGGATCAGATAATTTTTGTTAGACAGCGATAGAAATACATGTGAATAGCCAGTATCACCTGGAGTATTAAGAAAAAAGCTTCACACACATTAGGAATATGAAACCCTATACCGATGCATCGAAATGAGAGCGACAATGCATTGAGCCATTCTGCTACAACTAAAATCTTTACAGTTGTAAATATTGCATTTCATTAGGAAATGTTTTTATTTAACATATTTGGCAGATTATATTTCGAAAAATATTTATCTAATCTTCCTTTATTGTAGTTCAATGCAATTTTCTTTTTAATCAACAATTTTACTTTCTTAAAACTATCAGCATTATTGAATTAGAATCAGCAATTTAATGCAAATTCCTATCCTTTTATCAAGGGATATACAATCTAATTCTAAAAAATTCAAAAGAGTGGAGAGGAATTCGTTGCTAATTGCTCTCAGCCAAAAAAAAGCAAAATAAGAAACTCAATCATCCCAGTGAGTGAATCTGAAAATGAAAAACTATCTTTAAACAAATTGAATTGCATCAAATTTCTTCGGCGAATTTTAGCATTAAATGATAAAAATAAATAAAATAATTTTAAGTAAATTTTTGAATTTTTTCTACAATTATTTATTTATGTTGAATATTTTCGCTTCATGCATTCTACATGATATTTTTTTCTAAGATCGTTTATTTCTGGTTAGTCGACCGATCTCTCGAGCAAATCCCAGGCAAATTCTACATGGCGATAGAAGTATAGATTAGCACTACTTGTATTTCTTGAAGTCCAAATGCTCGTTCCCGCTGGGAGTTGAACACCAGCACTAACACTTAGAAATGAGCACAGCAACCCACTGAACCATTCTACTCTTCTTCTCACTATGTGTGATTTTTATTGATGAGATCAAATGAGATATACATTTCTTAAATTATTTTAAACTTTCTTTGATTTACTATTAATTTCATATATATTAAATAAATAATTTATATAATTAAATTATAAATAATTTTAGACAGCGTTGTAAAATTGCTAAAGATGTAAGCAAAAATTGTGAGCAACATGCGAATGAAATTCTGAAAAATTTCGAACAGACAATCATTGAACGCATTGCAACCGTTTTAATAGCGGTAGTAATTTTTGTAAATTTTTTGTTTTCTTCAATTACTTTTTTTAAATATTAAGCCTTAAAACTGCACTGCATATATCGGAAGGCCAAGAAAATGCCAAGTGGTCGAGGCATCCTTAGACCGAAGACGGCAGCCTACATCGTCCATGGAACAAAATTTTGATCACTAAAATATATATTCAAAATATTTTACAGCCATTAGCGAAAAAAATTCAAATTGAACTTTGGAAAGCTTGTGATGCTGTTTCGAAATCCGAAAAACAAATTACGAAAGCAGCGGATCAAGTAATAACTGATTTAGAAAAGAAAATTAATGAAATCGCCATCGACGAACAATTAAAAGTAAAATTTTGAGATATTTGAAAATAAATTGAAAAGTTTTGTTTTGATATAGGAAATAGAATGGCCAAGCGATATGATGCTTTGCTGAAATCATAGGTTTGGCACCTGCCCTTTGACACTAAAAGTGTCACTGGTGCAAGGAAAATACCTGTATTTTCACATATTAGCATATTGACTCCAAAACTAAAAACGATAGGCAAGTCAGTAACCATAATCAACCCAACTTGGAAGACTGGTAAATGCTGTTTAAGCAAAAAAGTGTAAACGGCTATTGGAAGACGTCTTCATTATCTAGGAATAAAAATATTGATGAAACCTGGACAACTATCAAGATTTCACTTTTAATATTATCCAGGGGTGTTTACGGTCATAGGAAGCAACATAAGACTAATCTACTCTTTCCTATCTTATATTATAGTTTTATAGTCCATATTGTTTTTCATAATAGTTTATATACATTCTTATCATAATTAAGTGCATTAAGAATAATCTCGAATTTTTAGAGTTCCATCAATTGTTATCTAAAATTTTTGCAAAAATTTCTATTTCCAATTTTCTTTCAACCGAATTCCTGTATTTATTTCCATTTCTGGTTGCCATACAAACGTCATTGTTAATTAAAGCAACAGATGATTAGTCGTTTATCGAAATTAGTCCATGAAAAAAACTATTGGCATATTGACAGTCAATATAGATGATAACTGACCATAACAATGATAATAAGTAATGAAATAATTTACTAATGGATTGATGATAATAATGGATATATGGATATAAATGCATTATATAAATGAATTTTAAAATTTAATGAGGCAAAAATTGCAGAAGTTTTTTGTAAGTTTTTTGGCAAATTAACCTTATCAAATTATAAGAAGGGTTTGGCAAATGTGTGGTGATTTGAGATTTATTAAAACTTTTTTTTGTTACAGTGATCATTTATAAAACCTCTATTATCAGTTAAAATCAATTGAAACCTGCAAAATCTAAATCTTTACACTGATAAATAATATTTACTGATAATTTGAAAAAGCTATTTCTACTTAGTTGCATTTTAGAAATGGTTTTCCACTCAACTATGAAACAATATGAAAGATTAAAACACTTATACATTAAGAAGAACAAAATTGCGACACGCTTATCTTCCTACTTGGAAACAGTTTATTATGCAAAATATTTTTGCAGTGAAGTAACGAATAAAATTATACGGCGAAAATAAGAAGAAAATTTATTTTTATTTATAAAGATTGTTTTTTTAAAATCAAAAATTGATATGCAATCCTTTCATGATAACTTAATGATTATAAAAAAGATGGCATTAAATGATAAATATTTTAGTGATGAATACTTTATGATTATTCGTTTTGTTTCGAGTCCTCAAATTCGTTATCGAAAGTACAATCCAAATGTTCCAAGTGAATTTATTATTATCCCTTATAAATTCAAGTAACCTTCAGCTCATGTATAAGTAATTTCTAAAAAATGCACATTACACCACTTTCAAATCTTAGGCGTTCAATTTTAGGGATGCTGATATGCCATCTTTTCAAGATTCAATTTTATATATGTAATTGCCAAACTAACTATAAATAATTTTTGACAATGAAATTGGCAATGATTATCATATTTTTGAATTTAAATCTTTACCTATTCGAATTTTTAATCTTGTAATTTTTAATTATCAAAGAATGTGATTATTTATCACTTTAGGCTAGATTTTAATGTTGATAATGCAGTTGCAAATCCATTTTTGTTCGGACTTAAATTTCGATTGAAGTATTACGATGGTCATGCAATTATTCGTCTGAGAAAATAGCATATAATCTATGAACAAAAATAAATATAAGAAAGAATGAATTATGATTCTCTAATTTTATTTATTTATATCCATCTTGGCTTCAAAATGAAAAATTGTGATTATTGCAAAATTATATTAATTAGTTGTTCTTACTTAATATCGGCTGCATTATAAAGTTTTGTTTTTGGCCAAGCATTCATTCTTATAATCTTGTAAAAAGAAAAAAAAATTTCTTAAATTTATTTTTAATTTCAATTTATGCAATTTTTATTTATTTGTTAAAGAAATTTAGAGAATTTCATTTAATTTGCATTATCATTCGTTTGTTTAAATATTTTTTGAGAAATTTTGGCTTTTCATTAATTTGTTTGCGAAATTTAGGATTATAGAAAAATTTTATCGGTCGCATCAAAATTCTATAGCTTCTTATTTTTTTATGAATTTTCCTACGAATAATTTTTTTTTAATTTAATCGTGAATCTTCTTAGCTTTTAAAATCATTTCTCATTATTTTCTTCTAATATTTTTCAAATTTTTCTTCTAATATTTGTATATTTATTTGTTTCTTTTTCAATTCTATTAACTATTTCGATTGATTACATTTTCCCCATTACCATTATTTTCATTAATTTAAAATACAAGAAGTTCTATGGTAGTTTATTATAAGCCATAATATCGAAGATAATTTCTAATCGTAGCACTTTCAATCATCTATTCTATTATATTTATATCTTACCAGCTTTGTACTATTATTATCATTAATTATTATTAATTATTATTAATTATTATTATTATTATTAATTATTATTGTTATTAATTATTATTATTATTAATTATTATTATTACTATTACTATTTTTAGCTTGCTTGGCTCTAAAAGTTGAAATCTTTACTAAGAAAGTTAATAAGAATAAAAGTAGAATCAGTTTCTAAATGCACTTTAGCTTCAATTTTAATAAGAAGTTTACTGCCCTATCAAGAGAGAAGTCGAAGAAATCAAATCTGTGTTGCTGGAATTCGGCCTATCATTCAATTGTTCATTTTGATTGGAATCATTAAATTGGTTGGGTAATTCTGAAGAACGAATGTTTCTGCTAAAGGCATACAACATAGTTTCAATTCCTATTTCTCGATTGGAATAAAATATACATCAAAAGATTTTCGGATATCCGATTGCTGGCGAGTCATCATTATCTCTCTATTTAAACAGCTACTGCTAATACCATTCAAATCACACTCAAGTGATGATGAATGATGTGAAGAAAAAAAAAATCCTTTAAATTGATGATATTTGACATTCAAAATTATGGGTAATATTATCAAAGATGCAAAATTAGGAGAAGGTTTCTCATTGTATTCAAATAATTAGCGGAGAGAGCTTAGCGAGAAATGGTTAATCACAGCATTATGCTAACTTCCTTCTTAGCACTAAGCACTTCCCTATCAAATTTCAACGAAATAAATATATTTTTGCGAAAAAAAAGAACATAAATTAAAATAAATTCACAATTTCTCTTTTCCTTATTTTTGTTGATTGATTCTGCTTTAATCTCGAAAAGAATTTCGAAGTGGCTTTAGGCTAACAATGGTTATTCAGTGCATTTAATCATAATTAAATTTTGGATTGGTTCTTAAATTGCTTTTTTCCTGTTTCATAGATCATTGGCTTTTTTAATTGGCTAATTTTTTTAAAGAGTTCTCCACTAGCTAGACAGGGTATAGAATGGCTCAGTGGGTTGTTGCTCAATTGCAAGCGCCGATGCTGAGGTTCGATTCTTCGTAGGAGGACAAAAATCCGGGTGATGCTGGCGATTCATTTGTATTTCTATGGCCAAAGGATTTCCTGGGATTGTTCAATGTGACAAGCCAGTGTTGCGAGTTAAACAGTAATAGTGAGGACTCTTAAAAAAAAAAAAACTAGTCAGACTCGCTTCATTAGCTCGTCGTAAAAAAAAATATATCAGGAAGCACACACAAGTGAGTCGCCATAATCACTTGAATTTTTGGATAGGTTCACTCTTGCAATTGGCTATTTATATTAATATACTAACTATTAGTGCGGGGTCTTTCACCATAGACTCACTTTAAGCAAATGGATGTTCAGCAACTATGGAAACTTTACTTATAATGAAAAGTCTTAATCTTAAGAAAATTCTACTGTTTATTTATATATATTATTTTGAAATCGTTTTTTTCTGGATCAAAGTTTTCTTGAAATACACTTTATGATAAATTAAGTCGTACAAATCCTCTTTTAAAAAATGCTTCACTTTTTTTTCAATTTACACATAATAATAATAATATAATAATAATAAAAAATAAAAATTGCATATAAGTATTTTCTTATTCTTCTAACAGCTCGCATCGTTAGTTGGTAGGTTAGGTTCGTTTCACTCGTTACATAAGAATATAATTATTTCTAATTAATTTTTTTTTCCACATAGAGTCATAATTATTTTTATTTAAATCATTTTAAATCTAGTCATTTTTATTTTAAGAGATTAGGAAATTTTTTTTATATGTTCCTTAATGACGACATTTTCCCACACAAATTTATTGAAATAAGATTTATTATTTCAGCTTTTCAAAAGCGACTTTTTAGTTATCAAAATAAAAATGAAAATGCTTTGCGAAAATTAATTTGCTCAAAAAAATGATTCGCTTTTCATTATTTATTAATATATTTTTTTTTCCTAATAATAATAAATAAATAGTAAGAATAATAATATAAATAATATAAATAATGGTGATAATAATAATAGAATTCTTCAGTGATAAGAATGATATTTTTTTTAAAGGATCACAAATATGCCAAGGAGTAGCTTTGGCGATAGAAATGGCGATAAGTGATTCGCTAGCAATACCTGGATTTTTGGGATTGGGATTTAGGGATAGTTCATTATTGTTGGGAGGAACTGAAAACTTTAGTTGCAGCGCTCTAGAGCAATTCACTGAGCTATTCTACTCCTTTACTTTTTCATTGGATGATGTCTGACGAAGTGTCGTGTGTCGATCGGATTTGTATCCAAGTCTCGATTCTCGGTAATGAATGCATTTTGCCACTGAGCTGTTAATTCTTTAAGTTAATAATTTTTATTTTATGTTGATATTTAAATTTTAATGATAAATATTAATATTAATGATAAATATTAATGAATAACTAATGATATTTTTCTCATATTACCAATGATCATAATTTTTTCTCAAATATTTTCTCT